GCATTTACTTACAGGTGTGAGTCTCGAAATGTCCCGTTCACACAGCAGCTTACAGTAGCGTCTCGAATACTGTCTGTATGAACGTGCAACGGGAGTCAAGCCTGTATTCCTTACCAGTAACCATAGAAACAGTGACCAAAGTAATATCAAAGATGGCGACGTCCAGAAAACTGAAAGTCTTATCACTTTCTGACACGACAAGAGTCCAGTTGAGCCGCAAGTTCATTCGTCAGATCTTCATTAACTGACAGCTGCTTTTATATTTGGGTGAAGAGCAAAACATTTGAGTCGCATGTAGAACACAAACCTGTAACTGCATGTTAGCGTGTAGAACACGGGAGCGGCTCCGGTGGAGACTGGATCTAAAACTTTCACATGACACATAGCTCATTTTTTCGTCACTGTAAGTTACTGAAACCAGACATGAGAACACGCAACACACGGTAGACACGCGTTTGTGCAGCAGAGCTGCTCTCTCTCGCACTGTATGACGTGACAGACAACCAGTTGTCCAGTCCTGTTCCGTTCACACAGCACGTGTTTTCGGAGAATGCGGTTGTGAGTCCTGAAAATGTACGGGTGTGAGTTCAGTTACAGAATGCGGTTGTCACGCCTGAAAATGACTATACTGTGTGTGAACTTAACCGTATTAAGGACTCAAATACAGGACTGACAACCGTATTCTGCTGCTGTGTGAACTGGCCTAACATTTCTTTTAATATACGCATTTTATCAGTTAATGTATTTCCTGGAAATCAAACTAGGGGCATAGCCATCATTTCAGGATTGAGGGGGATAGAAATGTCAAATGTAATACCATTTTCCCCCCTGACTTTTGTCTAATTGACAGGTTTAATTTTTCTTATCACTTACTTTTAATTGGCTAAGAAATCAAATACCCTGCTGGACCTTATCCAATAATTTGTATTCTTTATTTCTCCTATATTTCCCTAATGACAATTTTATGATTAGTTTACATCCCCCACATCCCCTGCATATTCTATGCCCATGAATCAAACCCATGATCGTTGGTGTTGCTAGCAACAGGCTCTACTGATGAGCTATGGAGGCAGGACTGTTTTTAAGTAAAATCAGATAATTTCATCTAAAGTGGTTTGAGTAGCACTCCAGCACGTTGATCATTAGAAACCGTTTGTCTGCCAACTGAAATCTCAAAATAACTAAATCACAAAAAAACAGTTTCATTGATTATAATGGGAGCAACTGACTTTTGATGCCTTGCACTGCTCTTGTGAATATGGATCAAGTGCTAAAGAGTTTTATATGTGCGCCTTCCTCTGTTGTGAAGTGATAGTTACACCTCTGTCTGAAATCAAGAGCAGCCAGAGTTATTGTAGGAGTTATTATAATTTCTGGTGTTTTATAGATGTGTTTTTGTTACATCAACGAGGATGACTGTGCAGAAGACACAGATGGACTCACAGGCGGATCGCGTCACAACGTAAAAGCAACACCACCACAGAGCTATTGCCTGGAAAGCTGTGACACATCCGTGTGTGTGTGATGGGGGTGTTTGAGAGAGAATCAAATTCATGAAAGTGTCGGTCATGATGGAGCAGCCTGATAAATTCCCCATGTTTTTGTTCCCGAGTTGTCTTCTGTGTTCTCCTAATACACTCCCTCATCTGTCCTGTTTAATTAGTATAGGTATCAATTCCCGCTTGAGTCATGTGGTTTCTAGTCAGCTGAAAAACAAACTAAGGCAATATGGCTCTATATGAGCTTACTGAAAGTATTATTTCCTGTATTTCAACACTTTTAGCTGCACACTGCCTTGTTTTCCCCATTTTCATGCTGCGACTGTTGTGTTTTTTCCAGGATGTCATTGTATCCATCCCTAGAGGACCTTAAAGTGGACAAGGTCATTAGGGTAAGCAGTGTTTTACTTATATACTGTTCTAGTTATTATGGTTGCAATGTAATGTTTAAACTAATTGCAATTATTTTGCAAAAAAATTTATAATCGTGATTATTAATCTTAATTGGTTTCATTTGGGAATTATTTTTTTTTTAGTTAGTGAGATTCCACATAAGCACAAATTAGGAAAATGTCAACTCGTACGCATGGTTTATTTGACCTTATCTGATTTCATGTTTTATTATATTTATCATGTACTTAAACATTTTCTCTACAGCACATGTATTGTCGCACAGAGTTTGTGTAAGTGCATTTATTCAGCAACCACAATCACAAAAAAGTATAGTGAAGATTCATGTTTGGATATATGGCAAATATCAAGATTATGCTTAAATAATAAAGAGAAGCAGAAATCATGATCACGATTAAAATATGAGTAATCGTGCAGCCCGTAGTATTTATTAATTTTGATTTCCCTTTATATTTTCTTTTTATTTAATTTGTACTGATTTTGCTGTGTGCTTTTGTATTTTTTTTATTACTTTGTTTAAAAAAAAAATCTACATGGTTTAAATTTTTAATTTCAGTTTTAGGTTTAGTTTTAAGTTGGTTAAGCTTACTTGCTTAAACTTTCAGTTAGTTGCCAGGGCAGCATTTCTCATCTAATATTTATATTTTATTTAATTAACTAATGTTTTTTTTTTTTAATAATATGTGTTTTATATAGGATAATAACACTGAAGATAAGTTGGTGCTTTAAAAGAACTGTTATTGAAGTAAAGTGGATGTTCTCATGCGTCTGAAAATGTACGGGTGTGAGTTCAGTTACAGAATGCGGTTGTCACACCTGAAAATAACTATACTGTGTGTGAACTTAACCGCATTAAGGACTCAAATACAGGACTGACAACCGTATTCTGCTGCTGTGTGAACTGGCCTAAATCTTTCAGAGTACCCATTGGTTGGAAAGTACTGCATTAGAATATTTGCATTGGCCGTTTAAATTTTTAATTTCAGTTTTAGGTTTAGTTTTAAGTTGGTTAAGCTTACTTGCTTAAACTTTCAGTTAGTTGCCAGGGCAGCATTTCTCATCTAATATTTATATTTTATTTAATTAACTAATGTTTTTTTTTTTTTATAATATGTGTTTTATATAGGATAATAACACTGAAGATAAGTTGGTGCTTTAAAAGAACTGTTATTGAAGTAAAGTGGATGTTCTCATGCGTTTTGCTCCTCTAGGCACAATCCCAGTTTGCCAATGCCACCTCCAGCACCCCAGCCATCACTCAGGGGGTTTACCAGCCACAGCCTGCCACACAGGGGATGCCAAGCTCAAGTGAGTCCTGGCCTCTGCCTGTCTGTCTTCCTTTAAAGCTTCTTACGCCGTCTGTCTAGCTTCCATCTCCCTTATCATACCATTCTCTCTTTCATTACTAAAGTGCCGAGTGAGAGCTGTTTTTATAGAGATGATAGGCTTGCCAATGTTTTGTGCAATTGTCAAACAGGAAATGAAGACATGCCTTAGGGAATCTGGGAGCAATTTAACAACCTTCCCTACTTCCTTTTTTAATCTCAGTGTAAAACAAGTGCTCAAGTTGAGCCCCTCTTATCCAGGCAGCACTGCTTTCCACCTATGTGCTCTCATTGTGTCCCTGTGTGAGGCCTCTCAAGACACTGCCAGGATATTACATAACAAGAAGGTTAAAAAAGGAGTTTTTTTTAGGTGGGGGTTCACACAGTACTGTAACTTGTGCTGTAGTGATAGCTCCTGAAGCTCACGTTATTATAGCCTCAAAGCAGTCTGATCATAGGTCAGTGCGGTGATATTCTTTATAACAGTATGCTTGACATTCTCCTTTTATGTTGTCTAGATATTTATTAAATATGTATACTCAAGTTTTTTTATGGGTGTGTGTATAGTGTAGCTCCCTCATATATATATTTTTTAGAATGTTTCACACACACACACACACACACACACACACACACATACATATAGAAAATAAGTCTTTTATGCTCACCAGAGCTGTGTTTATTTAATCAAAAATACAGTAAAAACAATAATATTTTGGAATGTTATTACAATTTAAAATACTGTTTTCTATTTTAATATATTTTATATTTTATTCCTGTGATGGCAAAGCTGAATTTTCAGCATAATTACTCCAGTCTTCAGTGTCACATGATCCTTTAGAAATCATTCTAATATTCTGATTTGCTACTTAAACATTTACTATGTTTATCATCCTAGTGTAGGAAACTAGGATTCTTTAATAAATAGAAAGTTCAAAAGATCAGCATTTATTTGAATAGAAATCTTATAAATGAATCACTATAAATGTCTTTACTGTCAATTTTGATCAATTTAATGCATTATTGCTGAATAGAAATAGCCAAACTTTTGAACAATCATCATAGTATGAATTAAATAAGGTATGTATGTATTAAATATTGCATTTAAAGTGTTGTATAAATGAATGTCTGTGTAAGTTTGTGAATTGGGGTTTTCCCACCATCATCAGGTCCAGTGTAGACTTCTAGAGATGGACTGGTGTGCTAGCTTGTTTGTGTAGGAAAATGTTTCATAGGCGGACATTTTCATGTCTGAGCATTGGGGAAAGCAGGAGGGAAAGAGGCAAGGATTATAGTCATGACTCAACTCAGGAAATAATTACTGGATGGAAACATTCATTGCTGGAATCTGAAACCAGCGACTGGCTGAGTGTTGACCCCCAGTTGTCTGTTTTTCTGTTCTACTTTTTTTTTCTTGTCTTTTTTTCACTTCACGTGCTTGATGATCATAAAACACACTCAAACAGACTACATCACTATGCTGCTGTGTTAGCTATTAGGTTTGTCTGTGTCATATGGAGAATTCTAAACTTCAGTATGAAACGCCTTCTCTTTCTCTCCCTCCAGCTCTGTATCCGAATCTGGAGGAGCTGGGAGACTATATGGGCCTCAGTCTGAACAGCGATGAGGTCCAGAGAAACCTTGCTCTGGTCCCGGTGGCTGACAATGTAAGTGATTGACACTGAACACACCTGTTTGTTTTTAGAGTTCAGTTCCTGTGAGTATCGCCACTCATAAAGAAATATTTAATATATGCAAACAATGACATTTCAGAGTCTCAAATGTTTCCCTAGCAGTGCTGTTACTCTTTCCTGGTTTAGTTTGTTCTACAGCCTGTTTTTCCATCTCTGCAACCTTTGCCTTGTACAATATTTTCTCTGTTAAAGCAGCCAAGAGAAATTGTGTAAGCTTTGAAAAAGAGGAGGTGGTTGTGTATCTGTGCTTTTGGGAGTTTTTTTTTCTCTGAATAGTTCAAACTGGCCACAGAGTGTCTTATTCTTTTCAACACCATTCCTGGAAGCAGAGCTCAGAATGACTCATACACCATTAGGCCTGTGATGGAGTAATGCTAATGTAGGCTGCTTTCAGAGAACATCTTAAAAAGATACTCAGTGTTCATAGTACTGAACATTAGACCAGCCTCTCTCTTTTTGCATCTTTTTGTGTCAAGTATCCTCAGCCCCATTAATAAGGCTCAAATACCCCTTAAATAACACAAAACCAGAAATCTATTTCTTTTCACTAATACTGGATATCATTCAGCATTATCATTAATATTGTTAAAGTTGCTTAATCTATACTGTGGGTGAAAAAATGATTAACCTTATAGCACATTCTATTATGAATATCTTGTTTTGTTTCATAAAAATAAACTGAAAAAAAAAACAACTTTAGATTTAATTAGTAATAGATATTTAGTGAGTTATTTTATCATGGTAATTAATTAAATTAATTAATTCACATTATTTATATTAGTTATATACATTATATATATTAGTTATATACATTACCATTCGAAAGTTTTTAGGCTGCATTTATTTGTAATAGAAATACTTTGCAACATTATAAATGTTTTTACTGTCACTTCTAATCAATTTAATGTGTTTTTGCTGAATAAAATATACTATTGTTAATGGTCATAATACATTATAACTAATTTGAATTTTACACCCATCTTATCACTTCCTGTCACAGCTTCTACTGTCCTATCATAACAAAGGCATAAATGCAAATTTTGGGATTGACAACCGCATTTACTAACAGGTGTGAGTCTCGAAATGTCCCGTTCACACAGCAGCTTACAGTAGCGTCTCGAATACTGTCTGTATGAACGTGCAACGGGAGTCAAGCCTGTATTCCTTACCAGTAACCATAGAAACAGTGACCAAAGTAATATCAAAGAAGGCGCCTTACCAGTAACCATAGAAACAGTGACCAAAGTAATATCAAAGATGGCGACGTCCAGAAAACTGAAAGTCTTATCACTTTCTGACACGACAAGAGTCCAGTTGAGCCGCAAGTTAATTCGTCAGATCTTCATTAACTGACAGCTGCTTTTATATTTGGGTGAAGAGCAAAAAAATTTGAGTCGCATGTAGAACACAAACCTGTAACTGCATGTTAGCGTGTAGAACACGGGAGCGGCTCCGGTGGAGACTGGATCTAAAACTTTCACTTCTTATTGTTACCAGTGTTGAAAACAGTTGTGTTGCTTACTATTTTTGTTGAATCCATGACAGATTTTTTTCCCAGGATACTTTTAAGGAATATAAAGTTGAGAAGAATTTGAAATTAGCGTTTATTTTAAATTAAATTATTTTGTTACAATGTCACTTTTACTGTCACTTTTGATCAATTGTTTCCTTGCTGATAATAATAATAATAAAACAATAAAGTACTTATAATAATGCAAATAATAATAATAAACCCACATTACAAAATATTCTGAATATTGTTGTGACAAATTGGACAGAATCAGCATGACAAGTGTATAACAATATTTGTGTTGATCTTTGCTCCCTCCTGGTGGTTATTTGTTATAATTGTAGTATTGGTTGAGTTCAGTGTGAAACATAAACTTCCTGCTTTAGATCCAAGTTAAGCTGTATCAACAACATTTGTGGCAGTTACCACAGAAAATAATTTTGAGATTTAAAAAAAAAAACTAAATTCAGTTAAAGTAAGGCACTTACAAGCAGCAAGTATTTAAATGCTGTTTTAATAGTATAGCCACAGGACATTATTGGCATGAGACATGAATTACTTAATGACACTACTGTCTGCATTAAAGTTACATGCATCTTGATCACACAAAAATGGGGGTCAAGTCAAAATAGTTTTCTGTGGTAATCATTAACATAATTGCACAGATGATGCCAATAAGGATAATATCATTTGTATATATTTTGTGTTCCAGACCATTCCAGCGCACAGTCACCATGCATAAGGACAGCTCTGGCCATGTGGGCTTCATCTTCAAATCCGGACGCATCACATCTCTAGTGAAGGATGGTTCTGCTGCCCGCAACGGCCTGCTCACCGATCACTTCATCTGTGAGATCAACGGCCAGAACGTCATTGGACTCAAGGTGAGAGTGGTCATGGTAGTGTTTTCCGGATATGTCTTTTAAAACTGCTGTCAAAGACACAAGACCATAAACAAAATTCTGAGATTTGTGATGTAAAATATTTTGTTTTCTGTCTACAGGACACTCAGATTAAGGACATCCTGACCACATCTCCCACTGCCATGACCATCACCATCATGCCTAAGTTCATCTACGAGCACATGATTAAGAAGTGAGATCCAGCTTTGTTTTTATACTCATAAGTGATTTAATAATCATAGTAAAGTTAGCTGTTACCAAAAAAATATATATATTTTTTATAATGTGGCAAACCAATTATAATATGGCAATAATGCATTAACTCAGTAAAGCCTAAAAAAAAAAAAAGTCAGAAAATTCTGATCTAAATCTAATAATAATAGCAAAATCTAAAGAACATTAAAATTTTTTTTATTTATTTATTTATTGAGTATCATATTTGATACAGGCTTTTCATATAGTATAATATAGAAGAATATGGAGCTCACACTCGACCTTAGTTTTATTCAGAGGCTCAAATTGAGCAAAAAATGCAATTTTGTGCAGATGCTGATATTTCTATAGCCAAAAAGAAACATGAAATTCTGGTAGCTTGTAATGTAAAGCAATGAGATCTTCATAACAGTATAGCAGACTACTTTCATAAAATGCATATAAATATCAGTTGTCACTCTTTATTTCCCAATAATGTCTTGGTAACATGATATATAAATGCTTAGTTTTATAATCAGAGCTCTTTAGTTCTTATTATGGGGGGAAAACATAATGCAGTGCAAAACAATGATGACTGAGAGATGTACAAATAAACAATCCTGAAAAGCCTGATGCATCAAATGTTGATACATTTTAACTTTTCTAAAAGGAAATGATGTAAGGATAATCAAGTTACCTTAAGTTGCTTCAGTCCAGTAAGTGTTGAAATCTTGAAATATTACTAACAGTATAAAAGTTATTCTTGTTTACTGTGTGAAAATCAGTAAAGATTTCACTTCAAAAACACACATGTACCATCATATTGAAGGCGTTTCATATTGTACATGTTTTAGAATGATACTAAAAGGCCTTTTAGGCCTGCTTGAAAAAAAAAAAAGAAAAGAAAAAAGTATAAACTATCAATCACATGACAGAAGGCATTGTTAGTAGATTGTTTATAACAGAAATGTGAAATTTGCATACCATATATGATACAGTAGCTACGCTTTATGAGGTTATAATAATTTTATTAGCATTGATTATATTATATCATATTATATTATAGCCAACCAGTTTACAAAGAATTTGGAAAATCATAAATATTCCAAAATCAGTGTAAATAAATGACTTCTTAAAATGTATTAAGCCGACAGTGTGACATGAACAAAACAGACATCAATAATCAAAAGTCTGTCAAAATGAATTGTCGTCATCTGCTCATGACATCCCTAATCTGTATGTTCCAGGATGTCAAGCGGCCTGCTGAAGTCATCAATGGATCACTCTGTGCCTGAGGTCTGAACACAGAAGACCACGCACACCCCCTTCCACACTGCCTGCAATCTCTAGCCTTCCCATTGGAGCCATCCACCACATGGGTCGTCTATCACTGATTGGATAAACCTCCTCAATCACATTCATTTATAACATGTAAAAACTGCCTTTTTCTATTTCACTTGTTGGCTGTTATCGTTTTGCCATCTAGTTCTTGATTCTGTTCTACATGCCATTATTGCCATTGTGTAATTGTTGTCATATTACATGTTATATAATAATAATCCATTGTCATTATTGAGTATTATTATCTGATTGTTTTATTTTTGCTGGGGGGCAAGGGGTTGAAAACTGAACCTGAGCTTCCATTTTGAAAAGCATTAGCTTCAACACTCCTATCTTTTCAGTTCCTCCCACTATGCACAAACACGTTTTATTTTTGGAACATCTATATGCCAACAGCTGTACTCTGCCAGAAGGAATTCTTGGCCAGAATTTGTAATGCAACAAATAATTTCTTATTGATTTTGAACATGTTTTTAGGTGTTTAATCTTTGATAATATTCTGTCATTAGCCTGTAAATGTTAGTGTCTCTAAAAATTTATATACGAATGTAACCTCAAGACTGAAATTATTACAAAAATAAATAATCATCCTGGTGATACCAATGGAATACACTGCCAATGCTGATCTCTCAAAACATCTAAATGCTCCATTTCAAAAAGTTTTTGAGATGCTCTACACATTTTCAGATGATTAGAAACAAGATTTGAAACAAAGGATTAAAAAAAACTTCAAAAGTAGCGAGAAGGCTTTGTTCGCCATGCTTTTTAATATAGATCCTTTTACAGAACAATGAGGGTCAAGAGCGATGTGTTGCAGTGATGTCTGTACACTAATATTACCATTAAAATATTCTACACAAAAATATTGAGACACTATGAAACATTACCAGACTTACAAGACTGGTTCCACTTACAGTGCTGATACTGGTAGACAATACAGAGACAAACTGAAGTGTGAGATGAAGGCGTAAACGTGTCAATAGAATAACCATTAAAAAAAAAACTATATAACAAAGGTACCTCTGTGAGATCTAATCTTTTAGGCACAGTCCTATAATCCTGCTTACCAGAGACTAAACTACTGATGTAAGTGTCAGTTTGCCACCAATTTTACATTTCAGTATTCACTCTGAAAGAAAAAAACATGGCTTATGACTTTTTTCTTGTTGGAGGCTATTTCCATTTAAACAATTTAAAGAATATATGAGGTACTAATGTCTTCAAACCATGGTTGAAGGTGATATACATTAGTAAAGAAACGAATTATTCATTGCCAGCTTACCCTAAAAAGTATTATCGGAGAGTAATGATTCAATAAGAGATGCATCTGTTACAAGACATTTTGTGGTTACAAAAGTACATTCTAAACAAATATTGTGCCAGTTGACATTGACATCAAACTTGGAAATGTTTATTCTTAATCATCCCCAAAAATGCTATAAAAACTAGGGATATGGAGAAAAACTGTCACTTGGCTACAATGCAGTCTTTCACAACAGCCTGTTAAATTCAGCCTCATTAACTTCAGAGCCTGATAACTTCAGAAAATAATGAAAGGTTTTATTAGTAAAACTAACAATAAGTATTAAGATCTGTAGACTTCCTAATGGTGGATCGGAAGCTTTAAAGCAAATAATCTGATTATTAATTACCATTCAAATGCAGAAAGAAAAAGTAACTGATACTGCAACACATGAACTCTCACATTAAATTGCACACTCATACAGAGTGAAAAAAACTGTGATATGACAAAATAGAAATATTACATTTACCAGCATATAGGGCCAATATACACCTCTGCTTGTAATATGGCTTCAAAAAATTCAAGAAAATCTTATCAAGGCCTTACATGTCATTTCAACAGGTATACAAAGCTTTATATCAGCGTAAAACATTTACCTGGCCAAATAACTAATGCAATAGTTATTTACGTACATTTCATTGACAGACAGTAGCGGTTTGGAGGAAACCTATTCTTGGGGTAACAACTGATTACAATCTCACAATCTCTTATCCTCAGATAAAGACAAAACTATCTGAATGCCACACATTCATAGTTTCAACAAACATGAGTCAATAAACGAAACAAAACAAAAAAATCAGGAACATATATGCCTTCATTTCTTTAAATCTGCTGTAAGGTTCTTCAGTAAGTGCTTAGTTGGAATGAGGTGAAAAAGTGCAGGGACTAGACTATAAATTAATGGCATATATGCACACTTGCCACCACATAAAGCACAAATTAAGATTGTCAAGCAGTTAAAAAGAATAAATATCAAGCGCTAAAAAACCTTACAGACGCCACATCAAATATGCACAACAGAAAGCAGTAAATAATTTAAATGAGAACTTTGCAAATAGACAACAAATAAGGCCTATATTACAATACATATACTGTACACAATATCAGAGGGAGGAGGTAGACAGAAAGGCAGCGGCTATTTATGATTTGGAGGGACAGAAGATAAGACAATATGTGAGACACAAATAACTACAATTAGTGATCAACTGGTTGATTATCTGGTACACTGTTGACTGGCAAATCAATCCAGCTGTCACATATACACAACACAAAGTATAAATATTCATGTGAATTTATGAAACGATGATTCTTTGAAATGGTGGTGTCGGTGAAATCTAACCCTGGATCACAAATCCACATGTATGCATTGGCCTTTGGACAGACAGAAACTCACAATCAAGTATACTTCAAGTAATTGCTTATAAAGTGAATTATAGTGCAATTGACATGTCATTAAATGTCACCCTTCACCTACGTGTCAGTCAAATAAATGGTCAACATGAACATCAGGGGAAATGTAGTCATGGCCAAATGTTTGGAAAAAGCTGAAAGCAGAGAATTTTAAAATAAAATGTGTTTCTGCATGCAGTAAATGTTTAATTTACTTTCACTGTTTTAAAATTTACACCTAGATAGTTAATCTATTTGTATAATCCACTTATACAAATAAGTGTACAAAAACTTATCTTAACTTATACAAAAAAACTTTTTTTTTTTACCAAGTAACTCGATACAAAATACTTTTCGTTTTTGCTTTCTTTGATCTTTTTAGTGGAATTATATTACATAGTATTTCAGAAATAACATATTAGCTACTTTAATAACGTATTAGTGCTAATAATATTAGCATTACAACAACTTGTTTTAGCAGGGTGTAATGCTAAATTAATTTAAGATGTTTCATTATTTAGCATTGTTTTTAGCGGTCCCAACTCTCATGCCGGCTGTTGCCAGTTTGAGCCCCGCATGTAGCAGGTCAAGCACAACCGGTTGAAATTACATAACCTAGTCTAACAGTGAACATGAAAATTAGACCTATTGTTAAAGATTAGCATTTTATCCAAAAACATTTGGCTATGACAGTTTTTTGATGGTCACACAGTGAAACAAAATCATAAAATTAATCTGATGAAAAAGCTCCCATGACCCTATTAAAGTCATTTAACCCAGACCATTGTCTAAACACTGAATCCTTCTTACTGTTAATATTATTATTTAAAATACATTACCCTTTTCCTAAACACACAATTTAGCATTCAACTATACAGAACATTTCTTAACCATCAAACTTCCCCACTTAATTGAGCATAAAATAAAGAATACATTGTCTAAAAGACTCCAGATGGACTATGTATCATTTTGTGACAGTATTTATCTACGACACTAGTGGTATATGCAAAGCATATAAATAGCTCTGCAGGTGCTTGCTTTGCTCCTTAAGGGGAAAAGATGACTTCTGCTCTTATGCCACACAGGCACAAGTAATGGGACAGCTAACTACTGCACTCGCAGCTACAACAATGATGGCCATTAGTAATCCAGGTACTTTGGCTGCACTGATCAATCAATACACACACATACAACACACACCCTCTGCAGTGACAGTAGGAGGGACGCACAAAAGGACAGTTTCTTCCCATCACTTATTGTGTCTCTTCACTCTAAATAAGGGTAATACAATCATATTAAAGGGGATATTTTAGTGTCACTCACAAAGCTGAGTTAATGTCATCGTGTCAGTCCATCATTCAGAACACTTCATCCCTCCTCTTTACTCAGGGTAGTAGTTGTGGAAAAAGGTGAAAGCTCGCTTGATGTCCTGAACTTCATGAGCATCTTATTTGTTGGTTCAAATAAATGCTAGTGATTCCCCTTCCTCATTCTTATCTTGTCTTGGATATAGACCATAGAGAACCACAGCATTAAGGTACTGTGCTCAGACACTATCCTTCCACTGGTTGCCTCAATTCATTGTACATGTGTTAACCACTCCCAAATTGCACATCTTACAGAACAACAGTGATATCACTGGCTTCAGCACTTCCCCTGAGAGAAGAGCTGGTCTCATATACTCATTCCCCCTGGACCACCTCCTCCTGTGGGGTAGTGCCGAAGGCCTCCTCCTCTACGCAGAGAATGAAGAGCCACGGTGCAGCAACCCCGCAATAGAGAACCAATATGGTATATTGGCTGACCAACACGGTGTGGACCCCGACAGAGCCACGCCACTGTGGGGACCACTGGCACAACCACCGCAAGCAGATCCACTAGGAAGTGCCGGCTCCAGTAGTTCTTTGCTGGTAAACCACAGCCAGACGACTTGGACTCTGTGTTCATAGCACTCTCGTCATCCTCGTCTTCATCGTCTGCAACTATATTTATGACATGATCCCCTTCAACCCCAGCCTCTGTTAGTACACTACGAGGCTGAGTGGTCTGTGGAAGGGGCTCTAATTCTGTCTCAACCAATGGCTGCACGGAGCAAGGGGAGGTGCCAGGGTTTCGCAAAGGGTCTGTTACAGGTTGAGGTTGAACAGAGTTGGTTACTTGGGATCCAATGGTCTCTGTGGTCAAAGCTGTTGTGGTGATTGGTAAGACTGTAAGGGGCTCTGAAACAGTTGTCTCCTTAACAGAGGACTCCATGGGGATCAACGCCAAAGTCGCAGGTCCTTTTGAAACAGATGCAGCTGATGCCCAAGGCTCTATTACAACAGCTGGTGCAGACTCAGTGTAAAAGTCTGTGATGACAGAAGTTGTGGCAACTGTTGCTGTAATGGCTGATTCTGTGGCTACGGACTCCAGATCATCTTCCTCGTCAGACATCCAGGTAGAGGTTGGACTGCAGGCCTGAGAGCGGAAGGTGCGCTCAGCAATAGTGTCTAGATCAGAGTTAAAGGATGTACTGGGACCATGGGCAGGGGCCGAAGCAGGGGCATGATCATAGTCAGTTTGAATGCCTTGCTCACGCAGGTGATGCAGGTATAGGTGATGATGCGACAGACATGGATGACTTACACTAACAGTGGTCCCCGTCCCGATCCCACTGCAGCGGAGAGGCACAACTCTAGGCTCGCTGTTGCACAGTGCATCATAGGTGGAGGAGTGTGGCAGGCGGGAGTACGCATTGAGCAGCGAGGCTGTCTCTTGAGACAGAAACGCAGCCTCCAGGAGCAGATCTGCCTTGCTTGCTCCTCTTCCACTGTCTCCACAGCAAACAAACCCGCTGTCCTGCGTGCCCTCGCCTGACAAACATGGAATATCACACCCATTTTCATTACCACCACATTCCTGGCCAGTCTGGTCACT